TATTCTCACTGAATCGAACGCGCGACTCCTCCTCGAAGAAGACGACGACGACTTCGACGAGGTGATGTTGTTTGAAACACCCTCAAACTGAACGGTCAAACAGAAGAGAGAGAGAGACCCGCAGCAGCAGGCAGATCGCGCACTGTCCGGTCCGGTCCGTCTGTCCGTCCGTCCACACTCACTCGCACACTCGGCGACACAACCACTCGGGACACCAAAAATAACAAAACAAAAAAAAAACAAACGAAGTTAAAAGAACTGTGATCGCCGCCGCCGCCGTCGCCGGGCGAGACTGGTTTCTAATGAAGTGCACTGCAAAATGTCCGGTTCCGGTTTTTTTCCCTTCTTCTTCTACTTCTTCTTCTCTCCTTCGTTGTTATCACTCTACTCTTTCACCAAAAGGGGGTTGCTGCGTATTCCTTCCTTTCAACCGAACGAAACTCTAAAACCGAAATATCCTTTTTCCTCCCACCGATTCTTCAACTTCTTCTTCTTCTCCTCCTCCCTTTTTTTTTAATTTGTCGTCAACCCCTAAGGCCGTTCTCGTATTCTGGCTGTATCCGATGTGATGATGATGATGATGGTCCTGAGAGATGGCAACGGCCGGACAACATGGCTGTTGTTGCACCGCACTCGCTCACTCACTCGCGCTCACGCTCTGTACGCAGTATTACTTTCTCACTCGCTCGCTCCCTCTCTCTATCACTCCTTCGTCTGTCGTCTGTGCTCACTCTTTCAAAACAGGCGAAGACCGGGAGCCGCAACGAATCATTCCACTCTTGCTTGCGTGCGCTCAGATCGCCGCTCAATGATACAATAAAACCATTACGCTAGAAACCTGCGCGATCGACGCGCTCCCCCGGTTGCATACGAACCGTCGGTCTGTCAGTTCTGTCTCCCCCCACTCCCAACTCTACAGACACTTGCTCAATTCCACACAAACGCCACCTATCGCACGACGCGATCATCATCAATGACAGCTGTCATTATTCGCGGAAAATCGAATTTATTCGCGCGATCGTGAGCCGAAAATTGAGTTAACTATAAAACTAATTACAGTTTAAATCCTGCAAAAGTACGCATTGTATTAAGGGAAAAAAGTGAAATGATAGATTATTTTTTTTTAATTGTTGACTAGAGAGTCGCATGTATTTTGTTTACTGTTGCTAGAAGTGTCGTCATGACGACGACAGACCGCATAATTTACATTGACATTGTTTCCAGATCGTTGATGACTTCCTTGGACTTCTTCTGCAACTGATCGTACTCGAGGCGTTGCGATGCTTCCTTCAACTTTTTTTTCGACTGCTTGTCCCCGCCTCCTACAACGCCCTTATCGTTTTTGTTGCCGCCTCCGCTGCCGTTACCGGTTGTGCACAGATCTCCCTGCATGCTCTTCAGCAGACCGTCGATCTCGAGCACCTTTTCCTTAACCTTGATCTGGAACTGCAAAACGAAATGCGTGAGTAATTCTAAATATTCTCACTCTTCTACTTACACTCTTCAAATGTCCATCGATCGGTTTGGCCTTTGACTTGAGCTTCAAGCTCTTCGCGCCGGCCACCTTGAACACGTTACATTTCTTTTCCTTCTTCTTCCCCATTGCCGCGATCTGCGAAAAGAAATTAAACGAGCAATTAGCAAAGAAATGCATACAACATCTGCACAGCACATTTGTCAATATTGATGAAACACACTTTTTTTGTTTTGTAAAATATCTTCACCGTCTGAGCTCTTTCTCTTTTTGCTGCCCCACAGGATGTCCTCGTCAAGGCGGATCGCGACTCGCATCATCTCCTTCATCGAGCTGACCGTACGCACGCGGAACACCTCCAGGATCTTCGCACTCACATCCCAACCGAAGTTCTCGACGACCAATCTCCTGGCAATCTCCTCAGGCTCCTCCCCCTTTGCGAAGCAGTACACGTAAATCGTTGGGGGCGTATCCATCTCGACCCGCTGAACATCAGAGTACAGCCCATTGAACGCCCCCAAGAACTCTACAGCCAATGCAGGTAAATTCATCACGACGAAAACCCTCTTCCTCTCCTTAACGAACCCCAGCAGTTTATCTTTAACTTCATTCAAGATGAAATCCTTTCCATCCTTGTTCGACATGCTCAAATTATCACCGATCTTGTTAATCTTTGCGTTGTGTTTCAGCCATTTATACGATTCCGGGTTTAAATCGTTTGCGAAAACCGGGCATTTCTTCTTGGCGACGGGCACCGAGAACGGTCCGACTCCGGCGAAAACATCGAAGAGTACATCTTCGGTCCCAACCAGATCGACGATTCTTTCGTGCTCGGTGCAGAGTCTCGAATTCCAGTACACCTTGGAGAAGTCAAACTCGAAGGTACATTTGTTCTCTTTAAGCTTCGCCACGAAATCCTCTTCTCCACATAAGATTTCCATCTGAAAATTTCTGTACGTGTTGTCGATCATGTTCACTTTGTTCACCACCGTTCTGCAGCCAGAGACTTTATCAAAGAGCACCTCTCCAATCACGTTTTTATAGGGGAGCAAATGTTCGCGCAAATTCACGTGCACTATATGACCGATCTTCGTGAAACTCGCCATGCCCTCTTTATCTTTTGGCAGCACAGCCCGCAGCACATCCTCTGCCGAATAATTATTGTACTTCAATACTTCCTTGTGAAATTTGAATAGATGTGCATCTATGTTCTTGCCCACCAGGTAATTCCTATCCGTCTCCTCCAGATCCTCCCATCTACCGACTTTCAGTGGGTTCAGGAATAACACAATGTTATCATCCAATCGAGATATGGGTTTGTAATGATCCACCCGTAACAAGTACTTCTTCATTTTGGGTAATATATCAGATACCTTGTTATCGGCCACACCAATGTAGGGCAGTTCAATTTCCTTATTGAATAGTTCTTTATCCAACACTTTCATGTTCGCAACGAGCGACGGCGGTTTCAGCGCTTCTTCCATTCCGGAGGCGGGTGAAAATATTTTACGAAATTTCGTGCAGAAATCGAGAAAGGCGCGTGCACCACGCATCAATTTTATACTCAATACTCACCACCAATACCACCCGTTTACTTTTTGAGGTTACAACAACAACAAGTGCTCGTTTCGCTCTTTTCTTGAAGGTTATAATTAGTCTACGTCATCTTCGGTACACCTCGGAAAACCTCGAACTAAAATTATACTTTTTATTATTTCAAATTATACTTTAATTAAACTATATCCAGATTAATTTTTTATCTAGATAACTTATCGCAACTGATCGAAGAAACTCGCGTGCAAATGTTGAAGGAAAAGTAATTTCAAACAGATTTGTTGTATTGGTTGCATACTCGGAATTTCCTACATCTGTCAGTTGATTTGACAACCAGACGTGCAGTCGCTTTTGTGGTGAGTAGATGAAAATAAAAATGTTTCATTGCGTAGAATTCCGTGCGACGCTTTAATTCTTATCATCCGCGATGATTCATACACGAACGATAAATTAATCTAAATTAGACGTAATATCAAGCAAACATCCTACTCAACTCGACCGACCGACAGTCATACCAATCCGATTCAAACGGTTGTCAGGGTGTGTTTGTGTATCTGTCAAACAACTAACCAACCAACAGTCACCAACAGTTGTCACTTGTTTCTCCCGGGGGGGTTGTTTTGTGCGTTTTAAACTTGTCGATTGTTGTAGTTTATGTTTGATTGGAGAGGAAGAGTTGAGAGCAGATATTGTGGAAAATGTGGAAGGCCGCAGCAGGAACACAGATGAATCTGAGCAATCAGCAACAACAAGAGGAGGATGACGACGATTGGGAGACCGATCCGGATTTCGTGAACGATGTGAGCGAGCAGGAGCAGAGATGGGGTTCAACAACGATAGAGGGTTCTGGCAGGACCGCTGGTGCCATAGAGTGAGGATTCAATTAGATTAATCTGAATAATTTATGAATGAACTGTTATGTTTTTAGCATGAACAAGCTGAGGAAGGAGACAGAGGAATCTGACTCAATTAAGAAGAAGAAGGCTCTGAGTGAGGGCCCGAACGCTTCGTTTGGCTACGGCGGAAAGTTTGGTGTAGAGAAGGATCGTATGGATAAGTCGGCGTTGGGGCACGATCACGTCGAGAAGTTGCAGAAACATGCAAGTCAAAAGGATTACAGCACCGGATTTGGTGGTAAATTCGGCGTGCAGACGGATCGCGTTGATAAGGTTAATCTAATGTCGATTAATATTATGTAAATTGGGTCTAATTGTGTTGAGTTTCAGAGCGCTGTCAGTTGGGATCACAAGGAGAAGCTGGAGAAGCACGCCTCGCAGAAGGACTATGCGACCGGATTCGGTGGGAAGTTTGGTGTTCAATCTGATAGACAGGACAAGTCTGCAATGGGTTGGGATCACTTGGAGAAAGTGGACAAGCATGAGTCACAAAAGGGTGAGTAGTGTAGTAGTATGTTACTTAGATAATGATGATGATAATAATAATCGTTGCGTAGATTATAGCGTAGGATTTGGTGGAAAGTTCGGTGTGCAGGCAGACAGGCAAGATAAGTCCGCAGTGGGATGGGATCATCACGAGGCGCCGCAGAAGCACGAGAGCCAAACCGATCACAAGATCGGTTTCGGAGGAAAGTTTGGAGTGCAGACGGATCGGATGGACAAGTCTGCGGTGAACTTTGGCGATGAACCGGATAAGGTGGGCACCACCTACGACAAGGTTAAGCCGGACATTGGATCCGCCAAGCCGTCGGAGATGAGGGCCAAATTCGAGACGATGGTAATTTTGATAATCGCTAGCTTTATACAATGATTACAATAATCACTATAATTTGCACACATACACAGAGCTCTCAAGAGGACGGTTGCAGTAAAAAACCAGCGTCGGTGACGAGCAGTCCGGCTCCTCGCAAGAACTTGCACGCCAAAGCAGCGATGTTCGTGAACAAACCGGATGCTGAAACAGCATCCCCTGTACCTGAAAGGGCGGCACCCAAGCAACTGGACCAATCGAAGATTGCATTCTTGCAACAGCAAAATTTGGAGCAGACGTCGACATCGACGACGACGACGACTAGTGGCGTGAACAAAACGCCCGGACAATTGGACAAATCCAAATTGAGCCAATTCAACGACATGCAAAGCAACGAATCAGCAGCGTCCCTACACACCACTACCACTACCAATGAGAACACCGTATCAGTCGCCGCCTCGAAGGTAATAAAAATACGAATTTAAACTTTTCCTCATTTATTACACGTTGTATTGTATGTTTTAGATCAAGGAGGAAATGGAACAAATAAGACAGCTGCAGAAAATGCAGGAACCGGACGACGATGAACCGGAGATCGAGGAGATTTACGAGAATATTAATGTTCCGGCCGAGAGTAAGAACGAAGTTGTCGACGAACCGATTGCTGCTGCCGTTGCTGCTCCTCCGTCTGCAGCTGCCGAAGTCCTACAGGAGGAGGAAATCGTGGATACGGGAATAACGGCCGTTGCTCTGTACGATTATCAGGCAGGCGCCGAAGATGAGATCTCCTTTGACCCAGAGGACATCATCACTCACGTCGAAATGGTAAGTGCGCCAAAGATAGATAGATGTCGCCAAATGACAATATAGGGGCGCGGTCGTTTCTGTTAGGCAACTTCTCATTAACTATGAATGAATGAATGAATCAATGAAATTACTTAAATCTTTTTTTTAATTTTTAGATCGACGAGGGATGGTGGAGGGGCATGTGCAAAGGACGTTACGGACTCTTCCCGGCAAACTACGTGCAGAAACAAGATACTAAATAACATATTTTATACATACATATATATCTATATTTATACTGCGTATATTTTATATTCACTTTTATTTTGTCGGGCAAACTCAAAGCCCCAATTTTATTATCATGTACTTAACGTTTTACGACGCTTTGATTTTATTTTTCAGGTGTAATTAAATATAGGAACTAATTGATGAATTATATGAACGTCATGATCGTTTCGTCTTCCATTCCATTCCAGTATGTTCTGTTCTCTTTTGCTCATCATATTTACTTTTTTTTCCATTATCAAACACTTTTCTTTTTTAACTTTAATATACGACTTTACATGTATATATGTATACGATTTCCTTGTTTTCCTTTTATATAACATTTATTTATATTTTGTACATTGCAGTACGAAAATGCCTAGGCTCGTTGGAAAAGCATTCAGCTGGTGCCGGCAGCAACACGAAGATGCCAGTAGACTCGTTGGAAACGTAGACGATTCAGCTTTTCACAGTGTCGATGATGTAATTATCTTAAGGGGTTGTCGAGATATTCAAGAAAAACTGAAAACATCAGTTTTTGTGCAAATTAATTCCCTTTTTTCCACTTTCTCAGCTCATAGCCAGTAGACTCGTTGGACTGTTTTTTCAATTTCTAAAGCTCATAGCAGGCGACTCGGCGGCAGTACGAAGATGCTAGTAGGCTCGTTGGAAAGGTGAGACATTCAGCTTTCATACGAGTGGTCGATGATGTAAAGATTTATAGGCTCGTTGGAAAGGTGAGATATTCAGCTTTCATACGAAGTGGTTCGATGAATGTAATTATCTTAAGGGGTTGTTGAGAAATTCACGAGAAAACTGAAAAAAAATCGAAAAAAACGTCGTTTCTCTA